CTTCTTCTGCTAGTAAAAATTTCGCTTGCAAAAATTTCCAGCTCTCCCGTGTTATTACGCTTTCGATTCAGGGTTCTCCTGCAAATTTTTGGGTTACTATACACTTTTCCAGTAAAAATTTGCAAGTTCTAGTACAAATTAGAACTGACTAACCAAAAATACATGCAGATTCATTAGAATCCACTTAAACAATTAATTACATACTTTTCAACATGAATTAGCAGAGTGCACTTTTCTTTTGTTTACAATTTGGTTGTCAAACACACTACAGCTGATCGTTTGACACATTTACCAGAATTTACCAGCAACAAATCTTCGGACTCAAACTTGTAACTTCTAACAGAGAGAGGACCTTATTTACTCTCTTTTTTGTCCTCTCAGTAGTCAGAGAACCGAGTACGGGATCGATTTCCAGTAAAATCTGACTAATTCTGACAAGTCCGGACTCGTACAGGATCGCAACTTAACCTTATGAAACCTGTCAAACTGACAGAAGAAGGGGAAGAATTTTAATAATTAAAATTTTAATCAATACATACATATGTGCATATTTAGCTGTTTTTCTTTGATTGATAAGTGAAAAAACATCAAGTGAACTATCAATTTAACGTTAATGTGTTCGCTGCTGATCAAATCTTAAATTTGTAATGTTTTTGCTATTAAGCGTTTAGTTTCGGGCACCAAAAAATGTTGGTTGTGTTCCCGTGGTTTTGGGCAGTTTATGCACTTTTGTGAGAGCATTCCGTATTTACGCTCATTTGCCCGAAAATGTAAAAAACAAATATTTTATTTATTTGCAACAGCTGACGAGCAACGTACGCTAAAAGTTGAGAGTTGGCCATCTTTCTGCTTTATGTGTATATAGGCGTTGCCGAATTTTGGAATGTGGACGGCTGAATTTGAATTCATGTATTCATAGCGACGCCCAAGCCAACGCATTAATTTTCTGCGTTTCTATTAAAACGTAGTGTGTACTCGATACTCAAATAAGTTATCGATAAAATGAACTCACTACGCTGATGCGCCAAGCTAGTCACATCCCCTTTGGGTTTTGTTTACATTTGAATTTTTATTATTCTTTTGTAGAAGTATAAGCAAACTTTTCACAAAGCATAAAATATGGCGGTGGATAAAATGAGTGCCAAGGATATTTTAATGAGAGCAGTAGAGTGTGATCAGGTGGGCCGTATTTTAGAAGCGCAAGATCTCTACGAAGAAGGCCAACGGCTAGTAATGCAACTTGTGGCGCGTAAGCAAGCTGATTTTCTTAAATTAAAAGATATATTTAAATTAGTATGCTGTTCCAGTCAAATTCTACTATATTTAAAACAATAATACTTTGTATTTCAATGATACAATTTTTATCTTGATTTATTTTGGCAAGACCAACGCGACGAATCTAAGAAAAAAATTTTGTGGGAAAGGATCAAGGAATACAACGACCGCATGCGACAAATAAAGGAGCGTGTACAGAAGCATGTTATTGGTGGAGAGCTTGTATCAAGTATACCGATAGATGAAGATTCTGTTGGCAATAGCTATCGGAATCTTTTTGGGAAGTACCTAGACGCAGAAGTAAAGGAGGTGCTGCTTGAAGAACCATACCTTTACGAAAAATATCAAGTGTTTAGAAACGCCAAAATATATTCTGCTATGGATTTCATAACCATTCATTTAGTTTCAGAATTTCGTATCGTTTCTGGAGTTGTTAGCGAAGAACTGTCCGTATCTGAAATACGTCCGACTGGTGACCAAAACTCATAGCAAGGCTCCAGAGAACCAAATAAACGTGATAAGGCAGATTACACAAGATCTAGCAAAGCGAAATGTGACATTATACACAAAATTTGTGGAAACATTACATGACCGTAAAATTGTGTAAGTTTAAAGAACAGTATTTGAATGGTTATTTAGTGATCAAGTACTTCTAACAGGGTTAGCAGTGGTTTTATTATAAAAGTTGGGCGCGGTTTGCATATTTTTAAACCATTGAATCCCTTCTACAGCCTAGGATTATGTGATTATGACTTTCGCAAGTGTCTACAAACTGATGTTGATATTTGGCGTACAAAGAACTTTATTTGTTAAATAAATTGGAGATCTACTTATAGGTAATATAATATACATTTCGTAAAAACATAAATGCATCGTACATATCGTTCTTTTAATGTAGAAATCGGAGCCTTTCTATATTAAAAGAACTTTGTCCATATACCGAAAGACTGGTCTCTTAAAATCCGAATGGAATTTAAAAGCAACGGACCGAATTTTAAGGAAAATCGCATTTGAAGAACTTAAGTTTTATAAAATTTTTAATTACTCTGTAAAGAAACTGAATATATATGGTCTTTCTATTATAATAATGTATGTACTTTTATGTTGGGTAAAAATTTCATAGCTATATTGATTAATATATCTCCCTACAACAAAATATGTATTCATTTTTACAATGGCAGTACATATATTAGCGCTGGAAAACATCGATGTTTCGATGTTTTTTGGGGAGCAACATCGATGTATCGATGCATCGACCTTTTCAAATGACGAATTTTTATTTTTTTATTTATTTATTATAGTCATTTGACCTATATACATTCACGTATATACATTTGAATTATGTATTGCAATATATAATAAAAGTAAAGTTAAAATTAATGCTTAAAATAAGTAAACCTGTTACACTTTTCCTTCTAAGCTATATAATAGTTTATGTATATTTAACTAAGATAGCATATTCTCGATGCTGTTGGAATGGACGTGATTCCAAGCAGCACCGTAAATATATCACGTACGATATGCGGTCTAAGAGTAATTTCCATAGCCGCCCCAACTGGGTGGTTGGAAGGACTAGTTTCCAAGCCGCCTCTTATAAATTTCTCTACCGGCAGGCGATCTGAATGGACGAGATCTGTCTGAATTCATTAACGCAGATATGCAAACCATCATTTCTTTAATTTCACAACCATACAAGATAAATGTGTTCAATTTGGACTTTGATTTAAAAGAGAGTGGTATTTTGCATTATTGTGTTTATAAACATAGCCATCTTCTATATATATTCGTCGCCTGGGTAAAAGATTGTCGCAAGCGCAATTTTCACGATTTTTAGTTTTAGATGCAGTTATATATTTTGAAATATATTTTGAGATACCCCCTTTAGGTTCCGAGACACTGACTATAATTTTTTCGATAATTTAGTAAAAATTTAGCTAGTGATGCAGCCATATTAAACTAATCAATATCTTTAAAATGGCGTCCGTTCCTTTTTGGATATCCCCTTTAGTTTCCGAGATATTGAGTAAAACGTGTCGTTCATTTAGTAGAAATTTTTGGATCACATTTTGTCGTATTTCATACAAAGTGGCTGCCAAATTGTGTACAAATGACGCTTACGACAAACTCAAAACTAATTAACATTAAACATTACAAATTAAATAATTTAAAAATTTTGGCTGACTTCCAAAACATCAATTGCTTTGCATACGTACAAAGTGTAACGTTCCATAACGTCGAACTACAAAATATTGACAATGTATACTGTTCCAAAACACATACGAAAAGTTATCGAAACGCATCGCTCGAGCAATCAGCGCATCAGAAACAAAGTTGATGCTTCGTTTGATACTGTTGTTGTTGTTGTTGTAGCGGCTACAACAACCCCGCCCGGGACGGTTGGTATCTCAGTCGTTGTCGTCAAGTTCCACTAACGGCAACCCTAGGAAGCGTGCAGCTTCTGTGGGGTTTGTCCACAGGGACAAGGCCGTTAGGGTTGTCGGGTTTTCCGGGCATGCGAAGAGATGTTTCGAGTCATGTGGGGTCTCTCCGCATGCCGGACACTTATTCGGCACATCCTCATTCAACCTACTCAAGTAGGAGTTCAACCTGCTGCAGTAGCCGGAGCGAAGTTGTGCGAGTGTTGTGCGTGTGTCCCGAGGCAGATGAAGGTCGGTCTCGTCTATGTCCGGGGGTGGTATGCCTAGAACGGCATTCACAGGTCTAGAGTCTACATAACTCGAGAATGAGTCCCTGTGAATGCCGTTCAGGGCCTGTCTGTAAGCTGTCGGGTCCAGAGGTTGCTTAATGAACCTCTGGACTTCGTCCGTCAGTTCATATAGATGCCTCCTGACGTGCCTAGGCGAGGGCTCCTCTGCAAGCAGCTGTCTGCTTGGGTGGCCACTTCTGTGGCTCCCGATCAGGAACTGCTTGCAGAGCATTATATTATGCTTCTTTACAGGGAGCATTTGCGCCTCGCCGTGCAGGTGGTGTTCAGGCGACATCAGGAGGCATCCTGTCGCTGTCCTGAGTGCGGTGTTCTGTACAGTCTGTAGCTTCGTCCACTGCGTCCTACTAGTCCCTGGCGACCACACTGGCGCTGCGTAGTTCAAAACCGGCCGACCTATTGCCTTGTATGTTGCCAGCAACGTTTCTTTGTCTTTGCCCCAAGTACTGCCGGCTAGCGACTTGAGGACCTTGTTGCGGCTCTGTACTTTATTGACAATAGCGGTTGAGTGCGCAGAGAAGAAGAGCAGGCTGTCGAATATTACTCCGAGTATTTTGGGGTTATTCACCGTCGGAATTGGTGTGTCATCGACGTGAATCCCCAGCGGTAGACTGACCTCCTTCGTCCAGGTTGTGAACAGGGTCGCGGAGGATTTCGTAGGGGAGAGGGCTAGACACTTTGCAGTGAAGAAGCGAGAAAGTTCGGAGAGATAGCCGTTTACTTTCGAACACAGGTCATCAATTCCATTCCCAGTCGCCATGATCGAGCAATCGTCGGCATAAGAGACAATCGAGACTCCCTCTGGTGGTTGAGGGAGCTTTGAAATGTAAAAGTTAAACAGTAGCGGGGAAAGGACACCACCCTGAGGAACCCCCTGTTTTATTTTTCGCTGCTTACTCGTTTTGTCTCTAAACATTACCGACGAATGTCAACCACTCAGATAATTTGCCGACCACCGTTTGAGCCTCTGTGGGAGAGAGGAGGCCTCTATATCTTCTAGTAGCGTGGAATGGCAGACGGTGTCAAACGCCTTTGACAAGTCCAACGCTTCTAGAATCGTTCTCTCACAGGGACGGTTACGGTTAAGGCCACGAGTTATCTGAGTGTTTATGGCGTTAAGTGCTGTTGTTGTACTGTGCACTTTACGGAAACCATGCTGATGCTTCGCTGGGGTCAGGTGGTTTGTGAAGTACGGGAGTAGCAAGGCCTCGAGTGTCTTCGCTACCGGGGAAAGGAGTGTTATCGGACGATATGAATCTCCTTTGTTGGCAGGTTTCCCCGGTTTGAGCAGTGGGACCACTCTCCCCACCTTCCAGATGTCTGGGATGATGAGAGTGGCCATTGACAAGTTGAGGACCTCCGTTATGTACGCTACCCCCGCAGGACCCAAATTTTTCAGCATCAGCATGCATATTCCGTCGGGACCCATGGCTTTGGAGGCTTTCGCCTTCCCGATGGCCACCTGAACTTCACCGCAAGTGAAGGCAAGGGGGGCACAAGTTGTTGGCAGTTTGTGCAGCCTTCTGGTCACTCGACGCTTGGCTTTGTCCACCGGAGGATGCAGTATGAACTGCCGGCTAAAATAGCTCGCGCATCGCTCCGGGTCCGACGAGGCATGGTCGCCGAAGGAAATTTCGACTCTGTCGTCGTGCTTCGTCGGATTAGACAATGACCTCACGGTTGACCAAAGCTTGCTCACACCAGAGGTGAAGTTACAGGTCTTCAGATGCTCCTCCCACTTCTTCCGCTTATGTACGTTTACAAGTTGCCGAATCTCCGCGTTGAGATCCCTGATACGGGGATCTCCGGGATCGGCCTGACGAAGGCTATCACGCTCATCGGCTATAACAGCCGCTTCGGCAGGGAAGTTTGGACGTGGGTCCGATATAGTTACATCCTGCCGGTATGAAGCGAGCTGCAGCAGCAGTGATAGCCCTGCGGAACTTACGTTCACCGAGATGGACGTCGGTTGGTGTGGGGAGCTCTGTGAAGGTGTTTTCGGTAAACTCCGCGTAATCTTTCCAATCAGCTTTAGAAAAGTTGATATAGGTCCGGTGTTTGGCGGAGGCAAAGTCGGTTGGTTTATCTATCGAGATGACTATGGGTAGATGGTCTGATGCTAGAGTCAGCATAGGTCGCCACGTTATGCTGTTTATCAGACCAGCGCTGACTATTGTGATGTCTGGCGAGCTACTGCAGTTACCCATAATCCTGGTGGGTGCGTCGTCGTTCATTGTGCAGAATGTCGAATCGTCTATCTGCTCAACCAAGTCTGTTCCTCTACGATCGTTTGACAGGCTTGAGTGCCAAAGATCGTGGTGCGGTTATCTCCTCAATCTTGCTCTGTAGCCCGTTGCAGTTAAATTGAAGGAGCTTCATGTGGTTCGGGAGACGTGTCGTGATGTGGGGTGTAAGTGAAGTGTATGTTCTTGCCGCCGTTGGCTGTATGTGCTGCTGTGGTGATTGCCGCCCTGTGGTGGTGGTGGGGGGTGTCGCAATTGGGGTCTGCGACCGAGCAGCGCAACACTTGCCCTCGAAGTTCCCAGTCCAATCTCGCGTGGTACGCAGACCTGAGCATGCCCTAAAGTGGCACCAGCCAAGGCAGGTGTTGCACTTGACTGATGTCACATTACGGAATATCCTGGTCTGACATACCGTGCAGATTGTAGGGGGAACCAGGAGTTGTCGGCGGCGGCGTGTGGGTGGTGGTGCGGTTGTGTGTGTTATGTGGTCTGTAGTGGCTGTGGTACGGTCTGTGGTGTTATTATGTTGTTGTGTTGTGGTGACTGTGTGAGGCTGCTGTGTGAGTGTGTGAGGGTGCTCGGGCGGACTGTGGTTAGCCGTGGAGGCTGCTCTGTTTGAGCAACAGGGGGCCACGTACGACGTGGTCCACTGTCTGTGTCCGTAGTCCCGAGCAGACTCTGAGGTGACTCCACCCCTCGCAGGCATTACACTTGACTGAGGTGGAGTTGTGGTGTAATCGTCTCCGGCATACACAGCAGGTGTATGTTTCTGGCCCTGGGTTTGACTCGATGCCAGCCCTGAGTAGGAGAATACGTAGTGAATGTAGCCCTATGGACGGACAACTTCTGAGATACTTCGCCGACCTAAACGGGGTTAGATCGCCGAAACAACAGCCCTTGGTCGGGTGAAACCCGAGTCATTCCGGTACGTAGAACCGGCTGTCGTGGGAATACTGGTTAGCATTGGTTTGATACTGGTTAGCATTGGTGTTTTAGAAATGGAAAATTCAGAAAAATTGTTTATTGCTATATTGAATATTTAAAATATGCAATGTATATGGTTGCAATGTGTCGCAACTCTGCATATACATACAAACATTTTGAAAACCGCAGTATAACAGTTTCCAAGCGTTAACTCAAAAACTACTGCATAGATTTCAGTCAAATTTTCAGAGGTTATACC